TTGTAGATGTTGATCTATGAATCTCTGCAGGAAAAGACCAACAATCAGTGCAACAGTGCAGTGAGATCTCCACACGGTTGAGTCTACCTGTGGATATAAAAACGAAAAGGAAGAAAAGATGTTGTTTTCTTTGCTCTTTCCCTTGGACACCTGTTAGAGTCGCTGTCAAACATTGCCTTTTTGGGGAGAGTTAGAGATTAGACTTTAAAAATTTAAACACTGCAACATTGAATGTTGGTGTTAAATGATAATATGTTAAGGAATTTATTAGCATTACTGATGTTAAAGTAGTAGTGGCAATGGCAATGTGTATTGCTGCCTATAGACTGGAGCATTTAGGGTATCTGATTGCTGTTTTGAGCTCATGTTTCTCAGGTTTAGACAACAGTACAATACTGCACCTTTAATTCAAGGCACAGAAGCAAAAAATAATTCTGACCAGCTTATAATTTATCAAACGCCTGCTTGAAAATGTACAATTTAAACCACAAGTGAAACATTGTTTTTGTTGTCACATACTGTCATAGTAATGTTTTCTATCTAGAACCACAACACAAAAAAACAAGCACAAATTATTCCTGTCCTGTGGTGCATCTGCTGCTGTGATCTGTCGACCTAATTATTCACTTCCTCTTTGAAGAATATTGTAAATTGGACTAACTTGTTAGTTTGCAGCAGAACTACAAGCAAATGTGGCTTGTTAGAGCAGATTGTATTGCTTATCCACAAAGTGTACAGAAAGCCATATGTGTTGTCTTACAGTTAAACAAAGTTTGGCTGTGTTTGTTTCTGAATCCAGGATAATACTATATGCAAAAACTCCAACTTTATATTGATGTTAAATACAAATGCGTACAAATATATTCTGTTTGATGCACAAGGATGGCTTGACGAAAGAAGACCTGTTCTCAATTCCAAGTTGTAACATACTAACACTTGCTCAGGACCTGTAGGTATCATATAGCATGCTGGTTACTCGCGTACAGTCATTTTACAAAGTGCAGGGCAGTGCTATTGAGCCAGTAGTCTGTAGTGCTCTGCTTCTGTTGTCACTGCGAGTAACATAAAAACAAAAGAAATGCAAATGGGAGAAGTTTGCTTTAAAACACGTACTTAACACTATGAAAGGGTGTATTTTTACCCAGTAAAATACTCAATAAACACTTGTGATTTGTACCATCTGGCACACCACCTACCTCTCAAAGCGAACTTTTGTAGTTTTCATTGTTGCTTCACTGTAAAAATGACGCTAAAGGGGTTTCCCTTGTAGTAGGAGTCTGTATATGATGTTTCAATGACCTGAAATAAATGCTGCAGAATGCCTGCAAAAATTGGGCATGACTTGCATGGCATGACCACTCCTAACAATACCCAATTCAGGAGTGCTTGGGTTCATGTGGTTTTGCTTACTGGACGCTCAAACACACATACAGACAAGTAAGAGAGCTCAACAGCTGACAAAGGTGTTGGAGGAAGCTTGAAATGTGCATATGCACACAGTCTCTCATTTTAAATTGCTTACATACCAACATATTTATCCATGAACATGAATACAAAAGAGCACAGACACATTTCATGGAGAGAAGTTGTTTTAGCCTTGACCGCACGTTTACAGCCACATGCTGGTGTGACCTGCCTAGTATTTATTCACTGGGAGACCTTTAGAAACAAGACACAGGATTCTAATTTATAGCCCTGAACTTTACAGTCTTGCCAGTCCATCGCTCTCTCTTTCTCTCTCTGTTTCTGTCTCTCCCTGTCTCTTATTTCTCTCATGTTATAATATTTCACAGACTGGCCCGACTCGTGCTTTATTGCACTCTATGGCTGTAATTCAGCCTTCGAGGTTTAACATGACTGCAGTATCAAAACATCTCCCTCATTACAGCTCAGTTTCTGATAGTTGAAATCTTCAGCTGCTGCTATACTGATTTTTTTTTTCTTTCATTGTTTATTTGCAAGAACATACTGAAAATTTAATTTGCCTACCTGTGCAAGTACGCTTTCACAATGTTGCACTGTTTACAGCATCTGGGATTGAATAAAACATCAGATAGCATTTTAAAAAATACTTGACTTGGTTCCGACTTCTCTTACACATATCCGGTTTCCAGGATTTTAACCGTATAAATAATGGAGACTTAAAGGCTGCACGCAAGAAATAATCCATCCGGCTGTGGTTACTAAAGGAGTTTGTGTAACGGAAAATCCCACAAACACGATAATGATGATGCTTGTGGTCTTCAGTTCAGTTTTTTTTTTAATGCAACTAACTTCAAAATAAATGCCATCTGTAAGCTATTTTTTAAATGTTTGGTACATCTCGCACCAGTCAAAATTAATTCTTGAGGATGACCTTGAGAGTAGTGGAGAGAAAAATCCAGGATGTGTGACAAATTATTTGTTGATTAACTGCTAAGCCATTAGAACATACTGTCCTCAAACTAACGAAATAAAAAATGTTTAGAAAGAAAAATGAGGCCAGCTAATTTCTGTCTGACTTTTCAACAAACATCATTTCTTAACCCTTGGCAAGTAAATTCCCTTTGTGAAGCTTTGAGCTTCTCTGTGCTGAGAAATTAATAATTCATGCTTTTTCCGACTTTTGAATGCTTTGAAATATAGGAAAGGTATTTTCTTCTCATAATGTATTTATTACTCTGTATTATTGACAAGGATCAAGTGTTTTTTTTTTTT